GCTTCCATGTGGATTTTCAATAGGTTTTTAATGTTAGTTGTCCCTTCTCCACATCCCCTCCTTTACCTTTCTTTCCCATCCTCTCTCTACTTAATCCTCATATTCTAGTTGTTTTTCTCTTCAAAACTCTATATTCTATTTTGTCTTCCTTGAATATCACCTCTTCCTCACCCTGGTTCCTTACTAGCTACCTAACTTCTGAAATTACTCAGACTGAAACACACATATCAAAAGCTTAAAAGGTAGCATTCATGTAAAAGAAAAAATATTTGTCTTCTGGGGTCTGAGCTGCCTTACTCAGGATGACTGTTTCTAGTTCTATCCCTTTACATGAAGATTTAATAATTTCATTTTATAATCAGATAAATAATAACCCATTGTGTAAATGTGACACATTTTCTTTATCTATTCATCGGTTGATGGACAGCTAGGCTGGTTACGATTTCTGGCTGTTATGAATAAAGCAGCAAAGTATATAGATGAGTTTCTCTGTAGTAAGATGCAGAGCCTTTTGCAAATGCCCAAGAGTAGCACAGCTGGATCATGAAGCAGACTGATTTTCAGCTTTTTGAGAAAACTTCACACAGACTTCCACAGTGGCCATACCAGTTTGCACTTTCACCAGCAATGAATAAGTATTCCCTTTCCCTCCATCTTCATCAGCACATGCTGTCATTTGTTTTATTTATGTTGGTCACTCTAACTGAAGTAAACTAAAATCTCCATGTAGTCTTAATGTGCATTTCCATGATGGTTAAGGATGCTGAACATTTTTTAAGTGTTCCTTTGCCATTTGTCTTTCTTTCTTACTTGCTTACTTTCTTTCTTTGACTTTTTATTACATTCTATACCCCATTTTTTAGTTAGGTTGTTTGTTTTCTTGGAGTTCAGTTTTTAAGTTTTTTTGTGTATTGTAGACACTAACCCTCTGTCAGATGTATAATTGGTAAAGACGTGTTTTCCATTCTGTAGGCTGCTGCAGTGCATATACAGGAGCCTTTTTAGTTTCATGCAGTCCCATTTATTAATTGTTAGTCTTAATGCGTGTGATATTAGTGTCCTATTCAGAAAGTCATTTCCTGTGTCAATGAGTTCAAGCCTAACCTCCACTTTCTACTATCAGATTGACGGTATCTGATCTTATGTTGAGGAATTTTATCCATTTGGTGTTGTTTTGTTCAAGGTGAAAGATACAGACATATCTTCATTCTTCTACATGCAGCTGTCCAATTTGACAAGCACCATTTGCTGAATATGTCTTTATTCAGTGCATGTTTTTGTTTTTTATTAAAAATCAGGTATCTGTAGATTGTTGAATTATATCTTATCTTTATTTCTATTCCATTGATCAATGTGTCTGTTTTTATGACAATTCCATGTTGTTTTATTATTATAGTCCTGTAATACAACTTAAAATCTGATATGGTTATACTTCCAACAGTTATTTTGTTATTCAGGATTGTTTTAGCTATCCTGGTGTGTGTGTGTGTGTGTGTGTGTGTGTGTGTGTGTGTGTGTGTGTGTTTCTATATAAAGAATTTTTTTCAATTTCTAGAGGAATTATGTTAGATTTTTGATGGGGATTGCATTGAGTCTCCAGATTGACTGCTTTTGGTAAAAATAGCCATTTTCACAATATGAATCTTCTTGAACTTTTTCATTTATCTTTTTATTCTAGTTAAGGCTAGTTATACTATGTTGCATTGCAAATCATGGAAGCTCTTACTGAACCTGAATAGCAAAGAAAACAAAATAGGTGTCAGGTGGCTACTACTAAATGATATATTTGATCATTTTCCAAGTATTCAGTTGCCATCATACCAGCATCCCCATTTTTATGACTTTTCATATACTTGTCATACAATATGTAACATAACTGTACTGAAAAAAAGGAGTGTTTTTTTCTTTTTTTTTCTTTTTACAAAATCCATACTTCTATGTTGATGACTGGGCTGATCCAAGATTTCTCCCGAGGTTCCATGTATGGAGAAGGAAAACAACTCCTTCTCTAAACCTAGGAATAGGCTTTACAGAACCAGAAATAGCCTGGGGCCAGGGCCTTGAGAGAGCCAGGCTTTAGATACTGAGAACCATGCTTAGCTAGCGTTGGTAGTCTCAAGGCTACTGTGTGCTCCATCTATAGTATTCTTGAGATACTCTGTGTTCCCTTGCACAATATTTCATGATTTTCTTCCTTCCGACTTCATCCCATTGTATGGTAGTTTCTACTGTCCCTCCCATTTCTGCCTTGGAAATAGTGTATAAGATGTTGTATTTTTTAATAAGCTACCTTGTCATAAGACATAGCTTGTGCAAGACCTCCTAATTCCAAACTTTCTATTCCCTTATCCCCTGATCTCTCTCTCAGGACCCTGTCAATATTCCAGGTCAATTCTATGTTTAACAAATTAAGTAACTCACTGGTCCTATTATCATATGAATACTAAAATTAAAAAAGTTTGCTAAAAATAATTATTCAATAGGTAAACCTCCATATTAAAATGATTTTAGATGTGAGTTTAATCCACTCGAATATGTAACTCTTCATTATAGAATAGAAACTCTCACTCTCAAAAACAAAAACCAAACATTAAGGAACATGACATTTGGGCAACTGGAGATGTTTCTTTAGCACACTCTCATAAAGATTGTTTAAGCATATTCATAGTACCTGTGGGAAGGTAAACCATTGTGTTCTGAGAGTGACTAGCAGGTTCTGCTGTGGCCTCTGTCTCAGCCCTGGTGCCACTGGAACTTGTCAGGCAGCTATAGCATTTGCTTTGGGATTTGCTACTTGAAGGATTTGTTTCAGATAGTGTCTAACATCGAACATTCTGCCCTCATATACTCCAATGGCTTCAGTTGTGGGGGGTGGGGTCTATCCAAACACCACTTCCTGGAAGAATATTTACAAATATCATTACTTCCTTGGTGTTCCTAATTGCTTACATTGATATCTTTGTCCTGATAGCATTAACTATAAAGCTCTCAAGCCCATCAATTTTTTTTATTATTTGTAATAGATTTCTGGCTTCTCCTCTAGTATGTGTAGTCCAAATGATTCAATACCTTTGCTGTTTTTCACTAAACCATCCAAGGCCAAGAATACTACCTGATGCTCAAAACTTCTTTGAATGAATAAACCAGGAGAACTCGTTTTTAATAGAGCTAGTGAACTCTGAAAATTTTCCATTGTCTCCCACAACCCACTATAACTGCAAGAAGCATCACTAATGCCAAGTACACGCCCCAGGAGGGAGGTTTCAGGACATGTCATTACCTGAAGCTCCATAACTCACTCTTTCATAAGCCTCACATTTGGCTTGGCAGTTGCCTGATCCTGCTCAGTCTTGGGAGATTCCATGTGTCACCATTTGGTGTTGCAATCTCCCACAGCACAGAGTCTGAGATCTTGATGGCTAAGAGCAATTTCATTGTGTTTTGAATTTGACAGTAGATGGGTATTGAATAAATTAGAATTTTCTTTAATGAAGTAAAAAAAGAAATGGAAATTACGTAACATATCCTTACTTGGTTCTACACTAGATTATTTTTATGTTTCCATGGAGAGAGTTAAACAGATGGGGTGAAAATGAACACACAGAGAATAGGCAGCTTCTGTCTGAGAAAGAATTCCTCCATGATGATTTCAAACAAGAGTCAACTAAATATGGTTGTTTGTCCCAAAGATCTTTTCTCTTACTACCTAATACTATTTGCTTACATTGAACTTTATGGTAGACAAAAGAAAATGAATCATTTTTTGATGAAAATTTCAAGATTTTAATCTGTAGTCCTTAACTTTTATATCAAATTAACTGTTTTTGTTTATTTGAGGATTTGTTGCATACAAAATTATGTATTTTCTTTGCATAATGGTGTAGAAAGAGAGACTTTGTAGTGAGTCACAATTTTCTGGTAAGGAAAGAGGAAGTGAGGTGAAGCAGCCTGTGCCATAAAGGTGGATATTGTATGAGATGAAACCATCTTCACAGGTTAGGTAAGTGTTGTCCTAGCTTAGGAGAGAAACTTCTATCAAAGAAGAAACCCCTTGTTTACACAGTCCCTTCATCCTGTAAGACATGACTGAATTTGAGAAAAGATGATCTTCTTTCCAGGCTCTGCTGAACTCTCCCCTATATACCCTATGCGTGCCCTTCCTAGACTTTATGATTAGGCTCTTCAAAGGTCCATCACCATGAAAGGCCACTTTGCTACGCCCCACCAATATACTGATCTCACCTCAGTTTCCATCCCCACTGTAACCATATGCCCAAGTATTTGCTGCACTAGACAGGAAAAGTAGCTGAAATAGAAGAACCAAGTCACTTTGGACCTGAAACCGAATTGTCCTCTTACTTTACACAGGTTAGAGTTTCTCTTCTGTATTAGAGATTTCCAGCCTTGTGCCTTTTATTTTTGTACCATTTCTTGGAAAAGGGGCTCTCAAGATTAAAAACAACAACAATGAAAAAAAAGAAAGAAAATCACTTCGGAGTTTTTGTCTGTTTGCTTGTTTATATTTGTTTTGTTTAGCTTGCTTTTGGTCTTACGTTCACTAAGCATTGGATAAGTAGAACTATGGTTTAAATTATCCCAAGTAGAAGAAAGCAATAGCATTATGCCCATTGCCTCCCAGAACAACCAGAAGCACCTCCTGGTCATCCCTTGCCCACCACGCCCACCAAAGATTCTAGTCATCCCCATAAACTCATCTAAACTGAGGCTCTACTTATGACACCGGTAAGACCGGCTTTCTGATGCCTGGTTTCCTGGATTTCCCATAGCATCCTCCCTGTTAACATCACATGTAAAGACGGCGGGGGGGGGGATTCATCAGGGTTAATGCTTAGATGGCATAATTGTCAGCACGTGAAAAAAATCACATTGCTAGGCTGAACCAATAAGTGGGTGAACCACCTAGGATGAATCATGTCTGACAGGTAATCAAGTAAGATGCTGTGATCCCAAAGGCTCTCGTTCCCTTGAGGCAGGGCTTGTTCGCTCTATAAAAAGCCAGCATGAAGAGGATCCTGCACCAAATCCCAGCAGCCACACTGCCTCTTCTCTGTATACCAGGTAAGCTTCGCTAGTTGGATACTTTGCCATTTACTTTACGCATTTATGTGATGTTTTACTGTAGACTCAGTTGCATTTGGGTATCTTTTGTTTCTCCTCTTATTGAAATTTAGTCATAGTTATAATGCAGATGAGTCACCTGCTTATAAACCCTAGAAAGTTTCTTTTAAAAGTAATCATGATGAAGGAACTTTAGGCATAACTGGTGTGACCCACCTATCCTTGCTGTGTCTGTGTCTGGGTAAGAACACAAGCCTGACACACTTCTAGTGACACCATTTCTTTATCTACAATTTTAACGCTGAGAATTTTATTCTTTCAATAAAAACATTTGTTAAGAGTTTGCGGTATCTGGTGTTTTGGACTGTAAAAGGTAATTTAGACAAAGGAGATTTTTTTCTATAAACCTGCATCTGTCTCACTTAGAAGAATAAGAATTAAAGATAATCCTGCGAGGAGTCAGTGCCAGGAGACAAGTGCAAGTGTGATGGCAGTTTGGGAAGGCAAGAAAAATTTCTTCAGTGCTCGCTCTAGGAAAGCTGTCTAAAACTGGCATAGCAGGTGATCTGTGGCAGCTAAGCAAATGTGAGCAAGCCGGCGTGAAAGCATTTCCTGGATGAAGGAGTGTGTGAGCCACATGTGATGAGACATTCTGGAGTGGCCACTGCTGAAGAGCAGTGCGCTGTGAATACTTTATTGTCTTTATTTTCTGCGTGTCATCACATTTACATATGGCCCATCTCATCAGTCGCAGACTTCTGCTAAAGCCCTCTGCTGTGGTGCTAGCTGTGTCTCATGATAGGTAGGAAGAGGGGAAAGCCAGAAAGACCCTTTTTTTTTCAGAACCAAACAGATCACCTTTAAGGACCTCCACGGCAAAGTGCCCTCTATGGTAGAGAGAGAACCTCTACTTCTTCAGACATTGGAAGTGGTATTGGCAGTGGTTTCTTGCAAAGTCATTCCCTTCATAAATCGTCTATTCTGTGTCTAGGTCCGGCCATCTTTGGAACATGAGTTCACATCAGCAGAAGCAGCCCTGCACAGAACTTCCTCAGCTGCATGAGCAGCAAGTGAAACAACCTTGCCAGCCACCACCTCAGGAGCCATGTGTCTCCCAAATCAAAGAGCCCTATGACACCAAGGTTCCTGAGCCCAGCTACCCTAAGGCACCTGAGCCCTGCCACACTAAGGTTCCTGAGCCCAGCCACCCCAAGGCTCCTGAGCCCTGCCACCCCAAGGCTCCTGAACCTAGCCACCCAAAGGCTCCTGAGCCCTGCCACCCCAAGGCTCCTGAACCCAGCCACCCCAAGGCTCCTGAGCCTTGCCACCCCAAGGCTCCTGAACCCAGCCACCCAAAGGCTCCTGAGCCCTGCCACCCTAAGGTTCCTGAGCCCTGCCCCTCAACTGTCACTCCAGTCCTAGCCCAACAGAAGACAAAGCAAAAGTAATGTAGTCCAAACTGTGCCTTGGAGAGATGACCACCACGTGGTTGCTGAATTTCTGTTTGAGCATACCATGCCTTTACCTCACTGTCTCGCCTCTCATTTATATCTTAAAATGAGGTACTACAAAGATTTTTTTAGCCTGTAAATGTGGGGCATCTGAGTCTCTGAATTCAACTGAGAACTTTGTTCCTGAGCTTGTGTGTCCACTGAAAACACTTCTGAAGAGGGACCAAGTTAAGAGTGATTCAGTTCTGTTATGTCCCCATTAAATTTCCTTCCACGCCTAACTATATGTTGTTGTCTGACTCAGTGACTTCTTCCTTTCCTCTGTGACATGGGAGGGCACAAGGGGATTTCCTCCAGTTGACACTTGATCCTGGCACTAACATCTGATCCTGGCACTGGAGGAAGGGAGGCAGGCTCCTCCCAATGAGGATGACTAGGGTGCCAAGGAAAGTTATGTAATGCCATCAGAGACTTTTGCCTTCAACACCCAGGATGAGAAGAGGATTCTCCTCTTATAATTCAGTGAGTCACTCTGGAGTTTAACTACTACCTGCCCAAGTTGACTCTGTTGTATCTAATCCTGAATGCACTGTCCCCAAATTAGGTTTCTTGGTTTCTAACATATTCTACTATTTATGTTCACTTTAAGAAATCTTGTAACAGAATTGAGTCTTCCCCTTCTTATACACATCTTCTATACACCTATAATTCAAACTCTCCAATCAACAAACTAAGACTCACAGTCACCACAATTGTTATCTCTTAACCACTGAGCCATCTCTCCAGAGCCGAAATTGTTATTGAAATCAGCCCTCTTCTGTTTTTGTCAGGGAGCCTTCTAGATAGATGTGTGTCACACTCTACCCCACAACACACACACACACACACACACACACACACACACACACACACACACGAGAGAGAGAGAGAGAGAGAGAGAGAGAGAGAGAAAGAGAGAGAGACATACTCACATAAACACATATGCTCACACACTCACACACACATAGGCTCTCATTGTTACACACACAAATACATTCACGCAACTCATACACACACACACATACACATGCACACACACACTGCAGCACTCATAAAGTAACAAACAAAACCTCCTTCATCAGATACTCAGGTCAGAGCTTTATCTGACCAGAAGGAAAGCTTGTATCCTACCAGGAAATATGAGCCACTTCCAGGGAGCTAAGTGAAACTTTTACCTGCCCATGTAACAAGATTATTCATGTCACAGACAAGTGTCTATAACATATTTGTTGGTCCTTTCAGAGACTTTTACATACTTATCAACTCTAGCTTGAGTTTCAGAAGTCTTGGCATCTGAACCTTGGTTCACTTCTGAGTGAACACCTTTACAGGCAGAGTGAGGGTTTTGTCCATGTTGGCCCAACTAATAGCATTGTGGAGGTGACACTTGGAACTAAGCAAGGGGCATTTCATCAAGGGAGGCTTTAAGAAAAGCATGAATAGAAACACTGTGGAATGGGATGGAACTAAGACACTGAAGTAAGCACACACAAAGTGCCCAGAAGGGATGCAGATGCTGTGGTGGCCCTATCTATGTCTCAGGAAACTAAACAAAAAGCTTCCTTTGAGAACATTCACAAGAAAAGCTACCCTGAACTTTGAGTAAGCAGAAGCCCTGATAAAGAGGTGGATCTTCAGTCTTTAAATTTCCATGTCTTTTGTCTCTCAAACACAACTGCCAGAAGTCTTGCATTCTTTTATAACATCTCAGTATAAATTTACCCTTCCCCCCCACACCTTATGTTTTCTTTCCTCATGGTAGGACAGAAAATCCCACCTTTATTCAGGAGCAAATATTTAACATTTAATATTAGATGACTGCACAAAAGATCTCCAGAAAGGCATTATCATCTTTACAACGTGTTGATCAATTCCCTAAAAACATTTTCATTTTTTCTCTCCTTTGCAGAACCTAAGAGATGTAGCTCAGCTTCTTCAGGCTGGGCTCACACCCTACTGAAAATCAAATGTTTCAGGCCTACTTTCAAGGCTCTTCTAATCTGAAACCTTAGTAATGTTTTGATTATTATAATTTAAACTTTTGCGGGGAGTGGTTTTGAGACAAGAGGTCTTTGTAGCCTTGAAGCCTGTCCTGGAACTCGCTCTATAGACCAGGCTGGCCTTGAAGTCACAGAGATCCACCTGTCTCTGCCTCTCAATGTTGGGATCAAAGATGTGCACCACCACCTCCAGGTATAGTTTAAACTTAATAGAAGATTCATCCCCTTACAATCCCATTTGAATACCCAGGATCACAACATGTGAGAATTATCTGAACCAGGAGGCAGGGCACTTGGTAACTAAACAGCATGGCAATGGTGATTCTGCAAATCATATTAACACTGAAAACACTAGATGCTTCAAGTATGGACTCAGAAGATTCAGGAGCACAGTGGTGACAGGATGTGGTGCTTTGTAGGCTGTTAGAGAAAGAAGATGGCCTGCACAGAGAGGAGACAGACTATTTCCCTCCTTTTATTCTGTACTTCCTACATTTTTGGGGGGGGATCACACACCTTTATTTTTTTTCTCTTCCTTTTTTAAAGTTTAAGTTAGAAACAAGCTTGTTTCACATGTCAATACCCTCTCCCTCCCCTCCTCCCTTGCCCTCCCCACCAGGCCCTAGAGTCCCCCACCCAATCCCCATGCCGATCTCCAGGGAGTATGAGGCCCTCCATGGTGGATCTCCAGACTCTGGAGCATATCAGGAGGCAACAGAGTGAATTTTAGAAAACAAGAATACATGAATAGTATCAACCAGTTTGTACTTTATTCAGGAAATGAAACCACAGTGGAAACAACCCAGCCAAGGTAAATTACAGTTTTGGAAACATCCTCTGAGTGCACAGGGTGGAAAGCTGCTGCTCTTCACTCTGAGCATCTGGGACACTGAGCCAGAGAGGAAGGATCATTCTCAGCAGCCCCTTCACAGCAGAAGCAGAACAACCTGAAGGGAATACCTTCCCCATCAGGTGACCACAGACACATGGAGGTGAAGAGTGGAGAATATTCTTCTGCATCCATGACAGGCTTTGAAGTGAAGAAGAGGGGTTTTTCTACAGAAATGTAAGAGGTAGATTTCCATGTCTTCTCTTGGCCATGTTGACTGTTGAATCACTCACTTGCTCTTGGGTGGGCACTTCTGCTGGCAGGGAGGTGGAGGTTGCACAGGAGGACATTTCTGCTGGCATGGCTGAGGAGGGCAGGGTTCAGGGCACTTTGGAGGAGGACAAGGCTCTGAACACTTTGGAGGAGGACAAGGCTCAGGGCACTTTGGAGGAGGACAAGGCTCAGGGCACTTTGGAGGAGGACAAGGCTCAGGGCACTTTGGGGGTGGGCACACAGGAGGAGGCTGGCAGGGCTGCTTGCACTGCTGCTGTTGGTAAGACATCGTGCTGAAGTCTCAGGATCTGAAAGACTGTACATAACAGTTCTCTCAAGAGGTGATTCTCATAGAGAAAGCTGGTTTATAGAATTCTGGGCAGTAATTATCTCACATACACTCTATATTCCCAAACTCTTCTACTTTTAGGACTCCCTGAATTTACCCTTCCAATTCAGTAATTTGTTTCTTTTAACTTTGCATGTCCTTCTTAGGTTGCATTCCCCATACCCAGAAACATCTCTGCTCCAAAGAGAGGTTTTGCTTGTACAAAATAACATATTAAAGAACAGCAGTCTCAATTTCTGAAACACTAAGTAGCCACAAAATCAATCCTTAACACATTAGCACCTGTGAAATCCCAGAAGATGGGTTTCATTTCAGAAGACACCTAGGAAAATTCAAGGGTCTAATGCCTGCTAAGACATAGCTTTTGAAAAGGGCACAAAACTAAAGAAAATAAAAAAATATTCTGTTCTGCCACCATCTTCAAAGCAATCCTCCCCTACTGTCTTGATCTTCCACCTGGGCGTCAACCACCTACACACAAAGGCAAAAGCAAACTGATATAGTGTATCACTCTACCATATTCCTAAATTTCAGATGGTAGATAGCATTGAACACATAACCACAATTTGGAATCACTAAACTGTTTTCTCTAAATTCAACTATATGAGAAGGTCATAAACAGAGACCAAGTTAGGAAGCCAGACTCACCAGGTTGTCCGTAGTCTGGGGCTTGCGTACCAAGTGTGTTGCTTTCATTCATGCTAGCACGGTTTTATAGGACTGGCTGCCCCACCCAGTAGGATATAGAGCTGCTTGACGGTGGGATGATCCAACAATTTCCTAATCAAAATGCAAATATAGGCATAACTGGCTTAACCAGGACTCTCCAAAATAGAAAATATCCTGTTCTTGGACATAGTCACTGGGTTGATTGCAATGACTCAGAGCCATTCCTTCTTTCTCGGTTTCAGTATTTTGTTGCAGTTGGAGAAACTGGGGTTTTCCTAACTGGTTATCAAAAATTATCTTTCTTGGTTTTAGACACTATCTCTTTCATCTTTTCTGACCCTAAAAGCCATCTACATCAGCTGCTTGTCATTTTGCAACACTTAGATTTATTAATTCTCATAAGACTAAGACCTAGTCTGCCTCTTAATTGTGGAATTTGATGACTATTTTGCAATAAATCCCTATGTAATGTCTTTAAAGGCTTCTCTTTTCTCATTCATTTAGTATTCTAAATAGAACCTTCTTGTTTTGATGAAGTTGTTAAGAAGGCTTCCAAAGGTCATTCAACTTAAAAAATAAAAGAGAATGTAAAAAAATAATATCACTTTATAATTAGAGATGGAAGAATAGAATGAGGAAGATGAAACAAAGCCTTTAACTTGCTCCATCTCTGCTCTGAGAAGCACATGGGCATTCATCTTCCTGTGACTGCTGATGCTTCTGACAGTAAGGAAGAATGCCACTGACCATGTCCCTAGAAGGAAAGAGTCATCAGTTCAGCACCTGAGGCTAGGCAACCCTACTAATGGATGACTCACATAAGCTAGTTGCAACATCACAGTGCAACATCAATAGAATTCACTCAGTATGTCACTTACTGCTCTCCATAGCCTCAATCACATCTAAAGCATCATCTGAGAAAAATGTTTGATTTCTGATAACCAAAATTAGAAAATTATCTGGCCAGCTGGGATTGTCAGTGTCACATAGTATCATTTGGGTTACTCTTGAGGCTATTGTTCTAGATGCATCATAACAAAGGGAATAAATGGCTAAAGAGGGACAATATGAAGTGTTAAATTGGAATAGGAAGTCAGGATAAAGGAATAAATATGGATAGAGATGATTAATGTTAAAGGCCAGTTGATAAAATCATTTGGATGCCTACTGTTATAGAAGCTTCCTAAAACATACACATACACATTTGCATATGCATACGCATACACATACACATTCACATATACATATAGAGTTTTAATAGTTACCTCACAATGGGTACACAAATACTATAACTTGTCACCTTATGCTAGCAAATAAAAATACCAATACCAGGAAAGAATTACCTCTTTTGAATTGTTGGTCAGTGTGGTCCCATAGATCACCAAGCATTTTTTTTCAATCTTTCAATATCTTTTAATATTAATTGTCTTAATTCTCCAGTCAAAATTCACATACTGGCTTAATTAAAAAAGAAAATCCATTTTTCTGTTATCTACAAATAATTTATAGCTTTAAGACAGTCACTATCTTTTTTTTTCCAGTTTAAGTTTAGATAAGAAACAAGGTTGCTTCACAAGTCAGTTCCAGGTCCCTCTCCCATTCCCTCCCCTCCTCCCGTGCCCTCCCCCCAACCCCCCCCCGTTATCCCCTCATTCCCCCAGGGAGGGTGAGGCCCTCCATGGGGGTGTCCATAGTCTGTCATTTCATATAGGGCAGGGCCTAGACCCTTCCCCAAGAGTTCAGGGTGAGAGTGCACCTCACATTGTTCTATGGGAGTCCAAAGTCCGTGTGTATACTTGGGATGGGTACTGATCTGCTGCCCAAGGCTCAATAGATTACCTAGGCCTCCTCACTGACACCCATATTCAGGATGTCTTGATCAGTCCCATGCTGGATTCCCAGGCTGATGCCTGGGATTCAAGAGTTAACCTTTGTCTGGTCAGCTGTTTCTGGGGGTTAAACCAGCCTGGTCTTAATCCCTTTGATCATCAGTCCTCCCTCTCTGTTACTGGCTTTCTTGAGTTCAGCTCAGTACTTCACCAAGGGAGTCTGCCTCTTCTTTGATCAGCCACTAAATGAAGTTTCTGTTTCCCAGACTCTCTGGCCATAGCATTTTAGGCTATTGACAATACTCTTTGTTACCCTCCAGAATTCCATTGTTTGACCCTCTATCACTGAAGATAACACATTCCTGAATCACAGAATAAGGAGAGAGAAAGCAGATACTCAACTGGAAACCTTGTTCCTACTAGCTAGCTTTCATGACTCTGGAATTACATTTGCATGCTACCAGAGGATAAAAACAATCATCAGTCTCACCTATCTGTGAAGCTTATGAGTTACAATGACTGGCCTGACAAAATAGGCCCACTGGTGCAATAGTCTGATGAATATTATGGGAGTAACCAACTGCTTTCCTATTATATCTAAAGACTTCCTCAATGGGAAGGAACCCATTTTGGGTTTTGGTACTATTAATACAGCCAAGAACCTGTGACTCAGTAGGTCATAGTCCATAGGGGGGAGAATACAGCATTACTGTTCGGCTAAATGGACATAAAATCAAAATTATTCCATATGACTTACAACTATAGCCATAGATCGGTGCATTATTTCTTCTGCATCAGAGAGTTTCTTCTTGCAATATGGTAATTAATACAGAGCTCCTCAACTGGTCAATGTTGGGAATAGCAGTCTTGGGAGACCTCAGTATTTCCTACACTGTTGGATTGAGTGGGAAGATTAGGAGAATCAGAGATTGTGAATAACATCAAGGAAACATTGTTTCCCAAACACAGTATTACAGTTCTACATATGAACCACAGCAATTGGGGGGCTGCAGCATGGACAAAATCTATGCAAGCTAAAGTCAGACAAAAACTCAGCATGGAGATATGGAGATAACCATGAAATCTCACCACTAGCTGATGAGCTATTTGCATTTGATAGTTTGTGGGAGAGAGCTGGTTTTCTCTAATAAGGTGACCCTCAGTAGGTTGACCACGCTCTAGGGTAGGTCATACTGCCAAGGCTCCTTGAGCAAAACAATCTGGACTTGATAGACATGAGGAAAACTCCAAGTTGGGTCAACAGTGAGGGGACACTGTAGAAGGTTCATAGAGGAGTTCTTGGATGAGAGGATTAAAGTAAAATCACACAATCTGAAATTATCAAAGAATTAATGAAGTATTATTTTAAAGAAATAATATGAAGAGAAATAAGCAAATATACAAAAGACAAGTGTCATGTTTTTCCCAGATATTGAATGTAGGGGTGATAATTAGTATGCTTTATTTGCCTATATTAAAACACCATGATGAAAACTTCACTCTTTACAATGATATATACTAATATATTAATCATGACAGCACTGTCACAGAGTCAGAGCAACTGAATCTCTTTCCAGGCTAAGACACTCAAGATGCGTTCCTTTCACTGAAGCTCCATGAAGAGCAACCACAGATGGACAGGTAGCACAGATACTTTCTCCAAGTCTGAACCTTCAAGACCAGAGACATGGAACACATGCGCTTGCACACATGAACACTCACACAATGGTGTTTTTGAGATAAATAATAGATTCTCTTAGTTTTATGATCCTTTAAGGTCAGATAACCATGAGTTCATCATGCATATTTTATTCTGGATTTTCTAAGAATTTTATGAGTCAAATGTCAGGACTGAATATGAAATTCTAATGTTTTTCTAGTTCATCATTTAATTTAATATTTTATGGTATAATCTACACCATTAAGAAAAAAAGTCCCTGAAAAAGAATCAAGATTATACATCAACATATGATAGAAATAATAGCAAGCAACAGGAAAATCCACATTCCTACATTTAACAATGCATTTACATGGGCTTTTTTTTTGTTTTGACAATGATGTTGGTGTGCTAGAGATGATGGTCATGGAAATAGTAATGGACATGAATATGGTGCTCTTAGTGGGTAGTGTGTGTAGCAATAATTTCTGGTGTGATAGCTTATAGTGGTAATGAAAATGATGGTGGTATTGGTGATGATGATGGGGTGTGGCAGATGTAAGTGGTATGGCAGTGAGGGTAGTAGAAAGATATAGATCAGCAGCTTCTAAACTATCACTTACTTATCTCTAATTAGGTGCCTCAGATTGTGCCAATCAAATGTCATGCATTAGTTCTATGTGACCAAAGACAAGACTTTGACATACTTAAGAGTTTCCACAAGTAACAGTAACAAGTAAATGTTCAACATATTTAGCCATTAGAGAACTGAAAACCAAACTTACACCACAAGAACATTCTACCCATGTAAACACAGGTACAATCAAAATAAAGACAAGTCCTGGCAGAGGAATGGAGGAAAAGAACAAAAACTCTCGGACTGTGAGAGAATAGAATACCCCATCAAATATGGAAATCAGTTGGGGTTTCTCCAATGAAAAACACTACAGCCGAACTATCATATGATTCAGCAGTATCACGTGGGTTCATAAAAAAAGTCAAATAAAGCATACAATAGCTATTACTGCATTACCATCTATATTTCAGAACTACTACCAATGTTAAAGTATCTTTAATAGTTAAATAGTTAATCAGTACAGCTGATCACCAATGAAAGAATGGTTTAAGAAAATGTGGCTCTTAAGGACCCATTTCCAGACGGTCCTGGGCTCTGCCACTGAGGCTTCTATCCCGAAGGAGGCAGCAGGAGCCAAAGTACGTAGTTTCTTGCTCAACCCAGGAAACTAGGACTAGACAGGCTGCCTGTGATTGGGGTCTACCGCTGTGCTGCATCTTCCATCCCAGCTGTGGGGAGCCAATGCTCCCTAGTCTCCTGCCCTACCCACGGGTACAGGTAAACCAGGACCCATTTTGGGACCGCCTGCCTGGGCCTGGGCTTTGCCACTGAGGCTTCCATCCTGGCGGAGGCGGCAGGAGCCCAGGTACTGTAGTTTCCTGCACCACCCCTGGAACTAGGACTAGACCATCTGCTGGTGCTTGGGGACTGCCAAGGCTGCTTCCATCCCAGAGGCAGAAGCAAACTCACCCCAGCATCATAGTCTCCTGCTCC